GGCTCGGGGGCTGCCTCCACACCGCCTTCAGCAGCACCTCCCATTTCCCCAGGCAGGCAGGCAGAGAGCAGCCTCCTCAGCACTGAAACCTCCTGTGCATGCACAGCCTGCCTTCCCCCGTTCCTGCTCAGCAAGGGCAGAGCGGGGCAGCCAGGAGAGCTCCTGATGTTTCCCTTACCAATGCACACCACGTTGGACCGAATGTGGACCCAGCCACCTCTGCTGTCCCTTCCACGCCAGACTTCTCTGTATGCAGGTCTCCCATAACTGAACGGGACTTCTCTCACACATTTGACGTGGGTGAAGGATGGCTGAAAACCCGCAGGACAGCTCAGCATCACTTCTTCGTTCTTCTTGTAATTGTCCTGGTCTGGTGCCAGCCGGAGTCTCGAGTCCCACTGGGGCCTTTGGCATGCTTCTGGCAGATGTGAAAGTGGGTGTTAGTTGCGGTGGGAGGTGTTGAGGAGGTGGGTCAGGGGTGGGTGGTGGGGTATCAGCAATCATTCCTGCCCCAGGCCCTGACACCCATCTGCAGGGCCCCATGTCTCCACCTCCACCAGGAACCTCCCACCCACCCGTGGATCGCAGGCTGGAGCCCTGCACACCCTGCGCTCTGCCCTGGCCTGGCACGAGCAGCTCTGAACACTGCCCCCTGCCCCGATCCCACAGCCCCCTCCTGCCGGGACCCTGAGGGACGGAGGCTGGCACCAGTCCCCTCCCTGCAGAGGCTCCCCTGCAGCCCCCGGCCAAGCACAGGCCAGGCTCAGGGGCTGTCTCCACACCGCCTTCAGCAGCACCTCCCATTTCCCCAGGCAGGCAGAGAGCCTGAAACCTCCTCAGCACTGAGACCTCCTGTGCACGCACAGCCTGCCTTCCCCCGTTCCTGCTCAGCAAGGGCAGAGCAGGGCAGTCAGGAGAGCTCCTGACCCCTCCCTTACCGACACACGCCAGGTAGGACTGAATGCGGATCCAGCCACCTCCTCTGAGCTTTCCATCCCAAACTTCTCTATATACAGGTGTCCCAAAAGGGGTAGACTGGTCTTCTCTCACACATTTGACGTGGGTGAAGGATGGGTGAAAACCCGCAGGACAGCTCAGCATCACTTCTTCGTTCTCCTTGTAATTGTCCTGGTCTGGTGCCATCTGGAGGCTCGAGTCCCACTGGGGCCTTTGGCACGTTGCTGGCAGAGGTGAAAGGGGGTGTTAATTGGGGTGGGAGGTGTTGAGGAGGTGGGTCAGGGGTGGGTGGTGGGGTATCAGCAATCCCCAGCGATCCCTCCAGCCACTGACGGGAGAGGGAAGGGGATA